GTTGAGTAAGTAAGGTTTTTGAGTAGTTTAAAGTAGAGAATCAAATTAGACCTAAGCCTTCTCTCCCAAAGGGGTGCTATTCCTAAGATTTGGCATCGAGAACTGTAGTCAATGACCGAGTCAGTCTTAAGTACTTTGCGGGTGAAGCCTCGTTGTATTCCTTCCACCTTTAGCATATCAGATAGACGTAGGTTGGAAAATAAGAACGAGCAGTATTGAACGATAGGTCTTACACAAACTTTGTAAAGAAGGATTTTAGATTCATTTTGATAGAAATTACGGAGAATGAAGCCAAACAATTTCCGCATTTTGGATGCTTTGGCTTAGATGTGTTCAGAGAAATTAAGACTGTGTGTAATGTACCCCTAGGTCAGTTACTGATGCCAGTCTGGGCAGTGTGTGATTGCTAAGTGTTAGTTTCATTTTAAGAGACGTGTCTCGTATACATAACCAGCCGCATTTCTCTATGTTGAGCTCTAACCTCCAGCGTTTGCACCAGTTATCTACCATGTTGAGTTCATGTTGGATTGTTTGCATAGTACTGCGTAAATCGCAAATGTCATTTTTATAGATGACTTTTAAGTCATCGGCATAGAGGTAGGTCTTACCTGTGCTAAAACACTTGCATATATTGTTGATGTAGATTATAAGGAGCAATGGGCCCAAGACACTACCCTGCACAACACCACTGGTTATCGGTCGAGGTGTAGATGTATTAGAGTTAATCTTGGTTATTTGATATCTGTTCGTAAGAAAAGACTTGATCCATTGCAAAAGGGGATTTATAATTACAACTGACTTCAGTCTGTTGATTAGAAGATTATGAGGTACTTTATCAAAGGCTTTCTTAATATCGAAGTATAGTATAATAACTAGTTTCTTCTGGTCACGTATACGAGTAACCTCGTTAAAGAAGTCTATCAGGCATGTACTGCACGACCTTGTTCTAATGAAGCCGTGTTGTGACGGGTCTATTAGATCTTACTTGAGTAGGTGATCAGATAGTTGATTTTGTATCACTTTTTCCATTATGCGTGATATGACTGGAGTGATATTTATAGGTCTGTAGTTTTCAACCAGGTTTCTCGGTCCGGATTTGTGTTTGGGAAGAACATAGGTTACCTTCCAGGTTTCCGGATATGTACCTGTCTCTAAAGATAATGTGTATATTTTGAGTAGTAGCGTCTGTATGTCCGGTTCTGACATTTTATAAACGATTGAAGGGATGTCATCGGCACCAGAACTCGCATTTGGCTTAAGGGTTTTAATGGCGGTATGTATACTCCTAATGTCGAAGTTTATGGTACTAAGATAGTTTTTGCCGGTGCACTTTATGTCGATATCTGGAGCATCAGATGCATTCCCATTGTGAGAAAACCATTCACTTAATAGTTCACATATGACGGTTTGGTCATTATACGTTACTCCATCGTGCAGTAAGGAGTGAATGCTGTGGTCTGTGTTCTTTCTTATGCGTTTCGTGAGGAGACGACATAGGGCTTGGGCTTTAGATGCAGCAGCGAGCGCAGTACGTTCCTGTACCTGTTTATGCTTGTTGTGTTGACTTTGTACTCCGTCAAGCACTATACTATATGACATTTGAAGTAAGTTAGGTTTTTGAGGGGTTTGACGTAGAAAATCTAATTGGACCCAAGCATTCTTTTCCAGTATTTACACCTACTTCAGTTAGTGATGTGAGTTTGGGCAGTGTGGTCTTGTTAGTTTTATTTTAAGTGACATGTCTACAATACTTAGCATTTCTCTGTGCTGAGCCACAACCTTCAGCGTTTCCATCAGTCGTCTACCTTGTTCGGTTCTTGTTAGATTATTTGCATAGTACTACGTACAGTGCAAATGTTAGTCTTATCAATGACTTTTAATTCATCAGCGTCAAGGTAGGTCTTACTTATGTTAAAGCACCCGCATGTATTGTTAATGTAAATTGTATAAAGTAATGAACCCACGACACTATCCAGCACAACAACACTGGTTATTGGTCAAAGTGTAGATGCTAATGAGTTAACTTTGGTTATTTTTTAGCCGCTCATGAGAAAGGACTTGATTATTCGCAATAGGGGGTTTGTAATTTCAAGTGACTGAAGTTTGTTGATTGGAAGGCTATGAGGTACTTTATCAAAAGCTTTCTTAATAATGAAATATAGTGTAAACACTTGTTTCTTTTGGTCACGTATGCGTGATATAACTGGGGTGCTGAGAATTCTATACTGTACCAAAATATAATATTGAATAAAGCCAATAATAATAATAACATTAGTGTCAGGTACGGTTAGTAGATTGTCTGTTTCGTAATGAGAAGAAGATGAATTAGAAGTACTAGCTCCATATTCATGTTCGTTTGATTTAATACCAATATTGCCAATAGGAGGAAGGTAGTCGGAGGGTAGTTTGGAGAAAGAAGCATGTTTGGTAATGACAGGTAGAGTGGAATGGGCTGGGTTGATAGGCAGCGCACTTAGGTAGTCTTGAGGGGGTCGACTGAAGGAGCTTTCAAGGCTAGGGACAGTTATCGACGAAGAAGAAAGTATGACACTCCCTATTAGGTCGGTGTATATAGAGGATGATCCTAGAATAGTGGGATTATCGCCTTCAATATCTGGAGACCCCATTGCAGCGCTTTTGATGGTGATAGAGATGAAAAAGGATGGGGTGGTGTATATGTCGAGTTAGGGGTATCAAAGATTTGCGTAGTGTAGCTTGACTTGCATAGTAGCTAGAATCATCAGGTGGGTTCACAATCAGGTCAACGTTATAGTTTTCTTGTATTCTGTGCGAAATTTTGTATTGTTTGGAAACCCATCATTTATACTATGGTCATTTAAAGCGATGCATCGATGCCTTGCCCACAGCTCATTCTATTCCAATTTTCCTAACCGTTATATTTAATGATTTTAAAACATAAAAGCATACTCAAAATGGAGATCTTTAGAAATTGTAGTATTTTCAATAGCTCAATTCATGAGTCCATGTAAGTAAGACTGCTAGTGAGAACCTGGAATCACTGCACGGCCATTCCGTCCTAGTATGGGACCACTAATCTGACGGTTAGACGTTCCCATGTGAGACTCAAAGTCCTAGGTTCTAGTCCTGCGCGCAGAATTGTCGACGAAGAGGTAACCCATTATTTCCTCGTTTTCAGTGGTGGTCTAGATTAGCTTGACCCATGAATTCAAAAAAATGGACGTACCTCTTTCAACTGAAAGTACATTTTACGGCTGTACTTTTTCAAGCTGAACTATTTCTCGTAGTTTAATTATTTTAATTTTATACCCCGATTCCTGTTCATTGGTGTCTTTCGTTTTATCATACGCACTGTGCATTCGCTATCTCCTTACAAAGTCATTGTCATTGCATGAAGTATATGTATTTGTGGCCTCCTTTGTACCAATGTTTTTGTGTTCGAATAAATATTGGAATATTAATGAGTGATGAACAGTGTTTTATGTTACATGGAATTCAAAAACGAAAACGGAGTGCAAGATCAAAGGTCATGTTTTTTCAAAAAACAGTTTTACAGTCAAGGATGGTAATCGGGAAAACTCTGAGGATTAATAGAAAATGCGAATCGCAGTAAAAATCAATTAGAAAATAAGTATGTTTTAACTATTCCCACAAACCTCTAGTCAAACAGCGGTTGGAACGACGGATGTGTTCAAAAGATACAGCTCTCCTGAGGTTATGAAGCAAGCCAGTGGGAGTATTGATTGAATGTGATGCTCCAGACACATATTGGGCAAAAGAACAGCACCCGTCAGGTAGAAAACATTCGTTTGGTGTGCGAAAGCATTTAGGTTGGATGCTTGTAGGTTTCGATGGAGCATATAGATCAATGCAACAAGAGAAATGGCCTCATTGTACTCTAGCCAGTCATGTATACGAGGGTTTGAATGAGATTAACGAACTCGAACACACCAATACCTGACATCTCAAGCTCCCCTACAAATTGAGGTCTCCTTACTGATTGTTTCTTCTCAAGTAATGCCTTACTTAACTTGAGTCTCCCCTAACATAAGAGAATAAATCTGACGAAGGAAGGCCCACATCAGGCTACGGGAGAATAAATAGTGACCCGATAGTGGCACTCAAAATACCAAACACTCCAGGTCACCCCGACACAAACTCTCTGCCATAACATAATCACTACACTTCTAGAGACGACTCCCGAGAAACTGCACCTAGAGACACGCACTTTGTCTCGTTAAAAGTTGTCACACTTGGAATTCTCCGATGACCGAACTGACCGCGTACCCCGTAATGGATAGCTTTGAGAGGTGACTCGACAAACACGCTTACCTCCCTCTTGGACCAGCTGTATCTGATGCATGCCTCATAACTTGTCGTCCGTTATCGTTATTAAATATCAAAAGCTACTTCCTACCTCGTTTATTAGTATAGCCTTCTATAATTACGATTCAACCTCACACTCTCCGCCTTACCGATTAATTCAAATTATAAGATATACAAATCCACAGACAACTGTCAAAGCGACTAGATTTGGTGGCATCAGTTGACTGTGATTCCACACACTAAAAATTACCTAGTGACTGGAACAATACCGTACTAAAGATAATCGAGCGCAAATAAATCAATCGGTTTGTACTAGCCTGCAATAAAGATATTGGATCGTTTCGAACATAACATGCAAACATTACACTCAAATATGCTTAAGAAACACTAGTTGTCTTTTTAATGGGCATGGTAGGGTAGAGTGGTCAAAATATCTAATAACAAACAACTGTTACCGTTAGTTAATACCGGGAATGAACTATAAAGAATGAAGATAATTAATAGTAGCTCGTCACAAAGATAGTTGGTATGTTGAATAGAATAATTTAAAAACGTGATTGCTTGCCTGCACGTTAAATTAATGGGTAGGTAAACTCGGAAGGAGACATATGGCGATATTGAATGCTTACCTGTTTTGTTTTAACCATTGAAACATTTTAATAGGTCATTGTGTAGGGTCGATGCTCTGCCGCATCACTTTTGGTTTGTGAAATATGTATGCGCTTCATGTGAACGTGAAGAAGGCCAATAACTTGAAAAATATCGAAATCTCAGGGAAGAGTGACCCTTACGTCGTTGTCGATTTTCAAGGTATTTAATATTAACGTTGACTTATATATTATATTGTCGTTTTGCGTCATATGATTTTTGTCAAACATATCAAGCTAGTGTTTTAAAGTTTTTAAAAGAGTTGTGAATTATTAGCACATAATACTGAAGTTTTTGGTCTCCCTGTGTCACTTTCTGCTACGACATAAATGGTTGATGAACGTTTGCTTAGGAAGAAAAGCAATTTGTTGTTATTATCTGATAAAGTAGAAGTTGGTACAGCAATTACTTACATCTAGCAATTGTTTTCAGTTGACCTTTCATTTTTATAATGGATGAAAAGGTTTGAAAAACTTTAACAAAATGTATACGCTTTATATTATTTGATTCAAGTTATAAGCTCATTTATACAATCTAAGTTTATTTTTATCCCGTGAAATTAAAAAAAAACTAAAATGTAAAGTCACTGCGGATTGCTTAACTATCACAAATAATGGTCATAAACTTTGGATGACATGCCTCAAAATTTCCTCCAATGGCACTGTTTCACCCATTCTGTATCTTCCCTTTGCCACTGACTCCCAAACCACCTTTATTCCTTTCGTATCTAAACGTTTTTTAATAATACTGATATTACTAGTTATCCTACTACCACAGGATTTGTCTTGATATTTTTGACTCCTGCTGGTGTAGTGGGTTAATGTGAACCGATGTATACCCGTCAGTTTCTGGATTATATGTGACTGGCCGATGGACAGCGAGTTTGAGCAAGCTCTTTCACGTCATTAACATTTTGATAGAATGAAAACAAAATAAAATTTTATGGCTAACTTACCAAAACACAGCGTATGTTTTAGTAAATAGTGTCATATAACTCCCGTAATTTCTTGTTTTTAAAAAAAAGTTGGCCTGCCGAATAAATTTGTCATAATCTTCAGTTCAACGGTAATCAAATGCACGAAAAAGAAATATAAATCTTGCGTGAATCGTATTTTTAGTATACCTGGGTTAGAAAAAGTTATTTAGAAGCTAAAATATCGGCAAAACTATAGATTTAGAGTTCAGGTGATTTATTAGTCAAAAATAAGCCTTTTAGTAGATTATATTTGTAGAAATGGACGACTTTAGAGTATAAACAAATGGGTACATTGTTTTAATTTTCCGCCGTAATCATCTTCGGTTTTAAATTGCTTGAGGTTATACACAAGAAACAGATCAGATAAGATGAGTTTATGATACTTCTGGTTTCTTGACAATCCAATTTTATGGACTGTTTGACAATATAGGATGTGACTCACAACCTATAAATTTTGACAAAACATTAACCCCACTGTACTTTTCTCAATTTTCCTGATCAACTAATATTTGAAATTGAATAGATTTTTTTAGGTTTCGGGCTATACACTCTATTTTACTAAAAACCACCATTAATTAATCAACTTACTAGTGGATAGACTACAAATATTTGAATTTGCTTTTATAAGCTACTGAAGGTATCACCATTCTTATCTGACCTTGGCTTTTATAGATAAAGCGATGCATCGATGCCTTGCCCACAGCTCATTCTATTCCAATTTTCCTAACCGTTATATTTAATGATTTTAAAACATAAAAGCATACTCAAAATGGAGATCTTTAGAAATTGTAGTATTTTCAATAGCTCAATTCATGAGTCCATGTAAGTAAGACTGCTAGTGAGAACCTGGAATCACTGCACGGCCATTCCGTCCTAGTATGGGACCACTAATCTGACGGTTAGACGTTCCCATGTGAGACTCAAAGTCCTAGGTTCTAGTCCTGCGCGCAGAATTGTCGACGAAGAGGTAACCCATTATTTCCTCGTTTTCAGTGGTGGTCTAGATTAGCTTGACCCATGAATTCAAAAAAATGGACGTACCTCTTTCAACTGAAAGTACATTTTACGGCTGTACTTTTTCAAGCTGAACTATTTCTCGTAGTTTAATTATTTTAATTTTATACCCCGATTCCTGTTCATTGGTGTCTTTCGTTTTATCATACGCACTGTGCATTCGCTATCTCCTTACAAAGTCATTGTCATTGCATGAAGTATATGTATTTGTGGCCTCCTTTGTACCAATGTTTTTGTGTTCGAATAAATATTGGAATATTAATGAGTGATGAACAGTGTTTTATGTTACATGGAATTCAAAAACGAAAACGGAGTGCAAGATCAAAGGTCATGTTTTTTCAAAAAACAGTTTTACAGTCAAGGATGGTAATCGGGAAAACTCTGAGGATTAATAGAAAATGCGAATCGCAGTAAAAATCAATTAGAAAATAAGTATGTTTTAACTATTCCCACAAACCTCTAGTCAAACAGCGGTTGGAACGACGGATGTGTTCAAAAGATACAGCTCTCCTGAGGTTATGAAGCAAGCCAGTGGGAGTATTGATTGAATGTGATGCTCCAGACACATATTGGGCAAAAGAACAGCACCCGTGAGGTAGAAAACATTCGTTTGGTGTGCGAAAGCATTTAGGTTGGATGCTTGTAGGTTTCGATGGAGCATATAGATCAATGCAACAAGAGAAATGGCCTCATTGTACTCTAGCCAGTCATGTATACGAGGGTTTGAATGAGATTAACGAACTCGAACACACCAATACCTGACATCTCAAGCTCCCCTACAAATTGAGGTCTCCTTACTGATTGTTTCTTCTCAAGTAATGCCTTACTTAACTTGAGTCTCCCCTAACATAAGAGAATAAATCTGACGAAGGAAGGCCCACATCAGGCTACGGGAGAATAAATAGTGACCCGATAGTGGCACTCAAAATACCAAACACTCCAGGTCACCCCGACACAAACTCTCTGCCATAACATAATCACTACACTTCTAGAGACGACTCCCGAGAAACTGCACCTAGAGACACGCACTTTGTCTCGTTAAAAGTTGTCACACTTGGAATTCTCCGATGACCGAACTGACCGCGTACCCCGTAATGGATAGCTTTGAGAGGTGACTCGACAAACACGCTTACCTCCCTCTTGGACCAGCTGTATCTGATGCATGCCTCATAACTTGTCGTCCGTTATCGTTATTAAATATCAAAAGCTACTTCCTACCTCGTTTATTAGTATAGCCTTCTATAATTACGATTCAACCTCACACTCTCCGCCTTACCGATTAATTCAAATTATAAGATATACAAATCCACAGACAACTGTCAAAGCGACTAGATTTGGTGGCATCAGTTGACTGTGATTCCACACACTAAAAATTACCTAGTGACTGGAACAATACCGTACTAAAGATAATCGAGCGCAAATAAATCAATCGGTTTGTACTAGCCTGCAATAAAGATATTGGATCGTTTCGAACATAACATGCAAACATTACACTCAAATATGCTTAAGAAACACTAGTTGTCTTTTTAATGGGCATGGTAGGGTAGAGTGGTCAAAATATCTAATAACAAACAACTGTTACCGTTAGTTAATACCGGGAATGAACTATAAAGAATGAAGATAATTAATAGTAGCTCGTCACAAAGATAGTTGGTATGTTGAATAGAATAATTTAAAAACGTGATTGCTTGCCTGCACGTTAAATTAATGGGTAGGTAAACTCGGAAGGAGACATATGGCGATATTGAATGCTTACCTGTTTTGTTTTAACCATTGAAACATTTTAATAGGTCATTGTGTAGGGTCGATGCTCTGCCGCATCACTTTTGGTTTGTGAAATATGTATGCGCTTCATGTGAACGTGAAGAAGGCCAATAACTTGAAAAATATCGAAATCTCAGGGAAGAGTGACCCTTACGTCGTTGTCGATTTTCAAGGTATTTAATATTAACGTTGACTTATATATTATATTGTCGTTTTGCGTCATATGATTTTTGTCAAACATATCAAGCTAGTGTTTTAAAGTTTTTAAAAGAGTTGTGAATTATTAGCACATAATACTGAAGTTTTTGGTCTCCCTGTGTCACTTTCTGCTACGACATAAATGGTTGATGAACGTTTGCTTAGGAAGAAAAGCAATTTGTTGTTATTATCTGATAAAGTAGAAGTTGGTACAGCAATTACTTACATCTAGCAATTGTTTTCAGTTGACCTTTCATTTTTATAATGGATGAAAAGGTTTGAAAAACTTTAACAAAATGTATACGCTTTATATTATTTGATTCAAGTTATAAGCTCATTTATACAATCTAAGTTTATTTTTATCCCGTGAAATTAAAAAAAAACTAAAATGTAAAGTCACTGCGGATTGCTTAACTATCACAAATAATGGTCATAAACTTTGGATGACATGCCTCAAAATTTCCTCCAATGGCACTGTTTCACCCATTCTGTATCTTCCCTTTGCCACTGACTCCCAAACCACCTTTATTCCTTTCGTATCTAAACGTTTTTTAATAATACTGATATTACTAGTTATCCTACTACCACAGGATTTGTCTTGATATTTTTGACTCCTGCTGGTGTAGTGGGTTAATGTGAACCGATGTATACCCGTCAGTTTCTGGATTATATGTGACTGGCCGATGGACAGCGAGTTTGAGCAAGCTCTTTCACGTCATTAACATTTTGATAGAATGAAAACAAAATAAAATTTTATGGCTAACTTACCAAAACACAGCGTATGTTTTAGTAAATAGTGTCATATAACTCCCGTAATTTCTTGTTTTTAAAAAAAAGTTGGCCTGCCGAATAAATTTGTCATAATCTTCAGTTCAACGGTAATCAAATGCACGAAAAAGAAAATATAAATCTTGCGTGAATCGTATTTTTAGTATACCTGGGTTAGAAAAAGTTATTTAGAAGCTAAAATATCGGCAAAACTATAGATTTAGAGTTCAGGTGATTTATTAGTCAAAAATAAGCCTTTTAGTAGATTATATTTGTAGAAATGGACGACTTTAGAGTATAAACAAATGGGTACATTGTTTTAATTTTCCGCCGTAATCATCTTCGGTTTTAAATTGCTTGAGGTTATACACAAGAAACAGATCAGATAAGATGAGTTTATGATACTTCTGGTTTCTTGACAATCCAATTTTATGGACTGTTT